TTATATATAATTATATAGAAAATATTTTTTCCTAGGATACTTTTTAATTGAGTTTTATAAGTATCTAAGAAAGATTCCGAAAATATACGTGATAAGAAGAAATTAATGAAAATGTGTGACTATTATGCATAAACAATAATTATAGAAATAAATATATGAAAACGTTCGTGATGGCATTTTTTGCTGAAATACTTTGGAAATGATTCTCTTCTTATGTGAAAAATTACAATTGGGAACTACATACCTACTGGCGATAAGATCACGTTCCGATATAGGTCGGGTTTTTTACACTTACAGTGGATTCAACATCAGCAAAGTATAATTATATTATATTGTGATTTTATAATCTTGATTTGAAGAATTGTATAGTATTATATTTTAAGTAATGTATATATATTTTTATATTTATAAAATGTTTAATTTTTTTTATGATTTAAAAATTATAATTTATATTGTACATTTTTTAAAAGGCAATTTAGCACGCGGTTTATAACATTGCAATTTAGCCGGACTCGTACCATGCCAATACGTAACAATATAGTTCCTGAATCGAAAATAGATATACTGGCGCTAGTGTATGGGCGATTTTGACGGTTCTACGTAAAATGTCGGGATAGCCGATCTTAGGTTCTCTTTGTCCTAATGATTCTAAACTTGCCGGATGATAATTGTTCTTAAGTCCAATTGTTCCGATCATCATTCCAAGATATTGTGTATGTGGCACGTGCACTGGATGGATCGACAGTAGTCACCAATGCATTCTTCGTACCTAAGATAACTTTAGTCATTTTTCGAAGGTATATACGATATTCGTACAGTGTCAGCATTCTTTGTCCTAAGTCTAGGCTGTCGACGAAACCCACGAATGCTTATCAATGAAATATTAGATACCGCACGTATAGCATTCATTGGGCATCTTTAGACATCTTATCATCCTGTGTATTCGTGACAGATGTGTGTATTGAAGTAGAATTCACAGTGAGTTTAGTGAAGATTTGCAAAATTTTGCTGATGGAACACTCGATTTTCTTTCTGAAAAAACACGTCTTTCTGCTAGAATTTTATTGTACAAGGGAGATTTATAATAACAGTTTGTTGGCGATCTTGATTTGTTTCTTATTTGTTGCAGATGAGGGGACTCATATTTTTTTACATATTCTCATTATGCTCCAGTCAACTTGGAGCAGACAAGAAGATCAACAAATACGTAACAACTTTAATAAATGCTAAATGGAAGGAGACACCTCTTGTTCTCGAAGCAGCTGAATATCTTAGCGATGAGAATCCAAATTACTTTTGGAAATTTATCAAATCTTATTCCAAAATAGTTAAACATTCTACACCACGTAATTATGTCATTATTTGATTATATTATTTTTCAGTTGAATTGAAAGTGCAAGCAAGTTATACTCAATTTCTCTAATTATTTCAAACAGATACACAGCAGGATAATTATAACATCATTTTGGAATTGGCCCAAAAGTATCTGTCTCCATCTGAGATAGCAGTTTTTAAGTTAGGAATGTCTTTACGTATTTATTCTGCACGTGTGGAAATGTTCTTTCAAATGGCTGTGAATAAAAATGTTTCTTCATATGGATTTTGCGACAATTTTGTTAACATTGGTGAAACATTCACTTGTTCTCTAGAAGATATAGATAGGTTGCTTGAGCAGGTTGGCAGTTTATCGTATTACGTAATTCATCCATTAAAATAATTCATATGTTAATATAACTCATAATCACAGTATTTATTTTTCAGGATACATTGGAAACTGTAGATACTTATGATGTAGATCATAAATATTTAAGTACTCCAGAATCAGATAAAATAATGATATTGTATGGTCAGATTGGGACATCTACGTTTATTGATTTTCATGAGAAGCTAAAAAACATAGCAGAAACAAAAGGGATCAATTACATTCTTCGTCATTTTATTAAAGATTATAATGTAATGGAAATACATTTTAGACATCGTATATACTATACAGAATTTTGTTTCTTATATCTGAAACGATTTACAGGAGGGGGAGGATACAAAATTGCGTTTATCAGGCTATGGTGTAGAATTGCAAATGAAATCTACAGAGTACAAAGCAACTGATGATTCTGATATTAAAGACAACACAGGGAAAAGCTCCGAAATGGCAAACGATGGCATGGAAGAAATTGAGGGGATCAACTTTATGATTTTAAAGTAAGGTGGTTAGTAAGAACGTAAAGTATTTAGTTTATATATTTCTATATGTTACTTTGTATCAGTATGGTATAATATACTATCTTTTCAGGAAATTATATCCAGATCATCAAGCTGAATTGGATAAAATACAGACATATTTACTGGAAACTAGTCATGAAATCGGTGCTTTTAAAGTATGGCAATTTCAAGAACTAAGTCATCAGGCAGCTGAAAGAATAATGAAGTCTCCTTCTGCAGAAGCACTAAACATCTTGACTGATATATCGCAAAATTTTCCTATGCAAGTATGTATTGAAATGAATTATGTATCTATATGACTATGTATATATGTAATAATTTATTTTTATAGGCAAAATCACTAATCAGAACTAAAGTAAATATCGATATGAAGAAGGAAATGAAATTAAATCAAGAAATATTTATGGCAAGTCTAAATATTCAACCAACTGACACAGCGCTTTTCATCAATGGCTTATATTTTGACCTGGAAGCTATTGATATTTTAACCCTTTTAGAATCTTTAAGGAATGAATTACGAGTAATGGAAGCTCTTCATAAAATTGGTACAATTTGCAAATAGTTATTTATATGTAAATATTAAATACTGTATTAAACTATACATATTTAAAGAATATATTTTTATGAATTATTTTAGGTTTTAGTAATAAAAAAATGAGTAAATTATTAGCTTTGGATTTATCTGGAGGTACAGATAATCAAAATTTTGCAATGGACATAAGAGATTCCGCAATTAATTGGATCAATGATATTGAAAATGATCCACGTTATAGTAATTGGTCACCATCATTAACCGAATTATTACGGCCAACGTTTCCTGGCATGCTCAGAAATATTAGAAGAAATTTATATAATCTAGTTAGTATTATTTTTTAAATTAGTAACAATAATAATTCCTTATTTTATGTTGATTGAATAATTAATACATGATTTTTCTTTAGGTATTAATTATCGATCCTCTAAGTGACGACTCCATGCCACTCATTGCTCTAGCACAATCTCTCTATGCGCATTCTGCACCATTGAGGGTAGGATTTGTCTTTGTGACAAATTATAATACATCGGTAACAGGTTTAATGGATGCCAGTGTCGCAGTTAACAATGCATATCACTATTTTGCAGACACTAGAAGTCCAAAAGAGGCTTTACATTTCTTGTCAGAGGTAAAGCTTTATATTTAGGATTTAAATGTGTCCTTATTTAAAAACTAATAACATTTATTTTTGCTTCAGTTAGGAAATTACATCGGACATTCTGGTGTCAACGTGGATGATGTAAAAAAAGTTATTCGATCCAGAGACTCATCCGCTAGTATACCTTACATCCTTGGTGAGGAGTCAGAATATGATGTAGGACGGCATCTAGCCAGCGACTTTATAAAACGATGTGGTTTCAAGAAGTTCCCACAAGCTTTGTTAAACGGTGTTCCTTTGACGCCTAATCAGATAAATTCTGAATCGTATGAGGAAGCAGTGTTATCTACTATTATGTTGCAAACTCCTATATTGCAAAAAGCAGTGTATCGAGGTGAAGTAACGGAAGGAGACGACATTGTTGATTTTCTCATGAACCAACCAAATGTTATGCCACGGTATGTAACACTTATAGTTAAATTTTTTAATCAACATAGGATATATAAATTATTTGATTGCCTTAATTATTATTTCACTTTCTAGATTGAACGAACGTATCTTAAAAGTGGATAAGAATGCATGGTTAAATTTAATCGGTACAATTCCTGAAGATGACGATTATACTAAATGGGCTTCTCAAAATCTATCAACTTATTTAATGAAGAAAATGCACTACTTGTTCGTACCGCGTCGCAATATGCGTCATTTATATTCCTTTTGGATTGTAGCTGATTTGAAATCATTATCTGGCAGACAATTACTACGAGAGGCTCTTGAATATATAGTATGTAATTGAGTAATACTTTGTGTAATATATATAAAACAGAATATATAAAATTTATATATTTTTATTAGGAATCAAATGCTGATGCGCGAATTAGTATTATTATTAATGCGGAAGATGATGCGAATCTAAAGTCTGATATTAACAAAATTGTGCTTGCTGCAATAAGTGCATTATCACCAGAAAAGGCTATACTTTACATGCGTAAAATCCTCAAAGAAGACACCGTAGCTCTCATTGCTAATGATAACTTTGAGATTGAGGTAAGATATACGTCTATCTATAAGTGACATATATATATATAAACTAAAAATCAATTCATTAATAATTTAATTACTGCAGGATGAATCTGTGGCAGCAATCTTAGAGAATCAAAATTCGATATTGTCATTGCATCAACATTACGTTAAAGCTGTTTTAAACATGGAGTTGGGAACAAGAGCAGTTATGTGCAATGGCCGTGTTATTGGCCCTTTGGATGATAATGAAGAATTTACAAATGACGACTTCTCTTTATTAGAAAGATTCAGCCAAAGCACCTATGGCGAGAAATTATTTATGAAATTGATAAAGGATCAAATCTTCAATGAAGATGAATATGGTATTTTATGATTTATTACTTAAAAAAGCGTAGTAGTTGTTTTTTAATGTATGCGGTAAAAATAATTAAATGTTGTAATATTTTTTATAGAAGAAAATAATATTACGGATGATACGATTATGAAGATCACTTCACTCTTAGTGCCACGTCCACAAACTCGAAGTCGTTATGATGTTCCTTTCCATGGAGATGATCACAGGTAAAATAATGACTTTTATATACAAAAATAACTAAAGAGTTCAATTAATGAATACATATTATATATAAGAATTCATATGTTTATATACATATGTTTATTTTATTTTGCAGCGTTATAAAAATTCCAGCAGTTAATCCCGATGAAGTTGCCTTCAACTTTATTGCCATTGTAGATCCAGTTTCACGTGGTGCTCAAAAATTGGGCCCGATATTGAAAACATTACAACAAGCCCTAAATTGTAATATAAAAGTATTTTTGAATTGCGTAGACAAAAATAGCGATATGCCATTGAAAAGGTAAAGTAATGCTTGAATTTCTTCATAATTCTTTTCTTATTTGTTATAAACTGTAATATATTTTTCACTCTTATTACAGCTTTTATCGATTTGTGCTCGAACCTGAGTTGCAATTTACAACAGAAGGAGATATTAGTGGTCCTATCGCAAAATTTACAAAACTTCCAACTTCATCTTTATTAACGCAATACATTCATGCACCTGAGAACTGGCTTGTTGAAGTAGTTCGCAGCGTTTATGATTTAGATAACATTAAACTTGATAATGTCGCAATGGGCGTACACAGGTAAAAATATTAAAATATGTCTATTATAAATTTGAATCAAATAATTTTTTATTTTAATTTTATTAAAACTTTTATTTTTTGTATCGCTTCAGTGAATTCGAATTAGAATACTTGCTACTCGAAGGTCACTGTTTTGAAGCAGTAATGGGAAATCCACCAAGAGGCCTTCAGTTCACATTAGGCACTGAGAAACAATCTGTGATGGTTGATACTATAGTAATGGCCAATCTAGGATATTTCCAACTCAAGGCAAATCCTGGCGAATGGGTGTTGCGACTTCGGCAAGGACGGTCCGCAGAAATATACGATTTTACTACTATTGATGGACAGAACGTTATTCAAAACGGCAATGATGTGAAAGTCCTGATAAGTTCTCTGAAGAGTCACGTGTTGAAAGTGAAGGTTTCCAAAAAACCAGACAAAGCGGGAATAGATCTTTTATCGGACAACGAGAAGGATTCTGGATTATGGAACTCCATTTCTAGGTACATTCGATTGATTGAATTACTCGTATTTTATGTTTCACGAATTCCTAATACTGGGTGTTAGTATTTAACATGAGTAGCATGGTATTCCGTTACCTTTGAACTTAACTTTTATTTGTTCTCTCTTTTTTAGCATTGCCAAATTTTGGTAAGCTTCTCATTATTATGTAGTTAATAATTACACATTCATAATTTTATATAATTAAGTACACACATACACATACCCCATAAATCAAAGATAAATACATACATATATATACTATAATGAAGAACATATTTGTGGCTTTAAATTCTAACATCCAGTTAATCTGCAATCTTGATGTACTTTGAACTATTAGTTTATTCACATTGATTATTATAATTCCAAGTCACCAATATGTGTTCTTGTCTTCAATTTATCGTCCTATTAACTGACTTGACATATCACTACTTTACTAATACAGCTTGTATTAATTGGGATACTTTTGCTGATATAAAATAGCTAAATGATAATTTACAATTGCAATAAGTCTTATGTATGTTTTGATATATTTCCAAACTAGGACGTTTACAGCGACAGACGAAAATGAAGATAAAGATGAGAAATTAAATATATTCTCTCTTGCCTCTGGGCATTTATATGAAAGATTTTTGAAGATCATGATGCTAAGTGTTATTAAACACACTAAAACACCAGTCAAATTCTGGTTCTTAAAAAATTATCTTTCACCAACACTGAAGGTAAAATGTCTATATAACAAATAGTGAATTTTTTTTCTTTATTCTTTTTCCAATTGCGAAAACAAGTAACAAAGTCTTTCTTATGATATAGGATTTTCTGCCTCATATGGCTAAGGAATATGGCTTTGAGTATGAACTTGTTCAATACAAGTGGCCTCGTTGGCTTCATCAACAAACTGAAAAACAAAGAACTATTTGGGGATATAAAATTTTGTTCCTCGACGTGCTGTTCCCGCTGAACGTTAAGAAAATAATATTTGTCGATGCCGATCAGGTAGGCAAATTTAAAATGTAGCAATATAACTATTCTTAATTATTTTACTTGTTTTTTTTTAATTATTTATCATTTTTGTACAGGTAGTGAGAGCGGATTTAAAGGAACTAGCAACCTTGGATCTCGGCGGCGCGCCTTATGCGTACACGCCGTTCTGTGACAGCAGAATCGAAATGGATGGTTTCAGATTTTGGAAGCAAGGCTATTGGAGAAATCACTTGCAGGGTCGTGCTTACCACATTAGCGCGCTGTATGTGGTCGATCTCAAACGATTCCGTCGTATTGCCGCCGGAGATAGGCTGCGAGGCCAGTATCAGGCATTGAGTCAAGATCCAAATAGCTTATCAAACCTTGATCAAGTGTGTAAAACGAATAATTTTAATATTTACAGTATAAAGAAGATTATATATTGTTATTTATTATAATCGTTACATTGTCGTTTCTTTGCGTTTTTGTAAAATAATCGATGATGGTTTTAGGATCTCCCTAACAATATGATCCATCAAGTGGCCATCAAGACACTACCACAAGAATGGTTATGGTGCGAAACTTGGTGCGACGATGTATCCAAGAAATATGCCAAAACTATAGATTTAGTATGTATTCTCATTTACATCGCAAAAATGAATATATTGTAATATTTCTAACGTCTTAGATTTATTAAGTAATTGTCTTTTTCTTTCTCGTTTCTTGTATTATATAGTGTAATAACCCGATGACTAAGGAAGCGAAATTACAAGCAGCCATGCGTATCTTGCCGGAATGGGTGGGTTACGACGAAGAAATTAAAGTTCTGCAACAAAAGATAGAGAATGCAAACAGACAGACATGGAGAGACAGCGGTATATTTCCCGCAATATATCTTTTAAATGCATGCATAAATTTCTTTTTACGAGACATTTATTTCTTCTCTTTGTTTCAGAAACTGTTGATCATGTTTCAAACCATAATGAATTATAAATTATATATGATGATCTGAAGGATATATTGAATTCCAAGATTGTTAAACAAATTTTATAAAATTCTGTATAAAGAAATCTTCGTTTGTCCTAAATTAACAAACGTTAATACGTAAAAATTTACATATTTCACTTTTGTAATTAACGTTTGGCACTTTATGTGTAAATATTTGCTACTGATTGTGTAAACTCTAAAAAATAAGGATGTATTAGAAGCTGAAGGTCTCTATTACTTATTAGATCCATACTTCGTATAATATCTTAAATTATAATCTTCAAAGTAATCTCATCTTTTCATATTGCAAACGCGCAAGATTACTACTTCTTTAAATCAAGTCGAAGCAAGAAGTCAGTAAAGTCCATAATTACCGATATTACAGTATTCTGATTACTCATGAGCATACAATTCTGTTCATGTTATCGAGCCAATGTTGTGATTGATTATTGTCTACTATGATAGTTATAAGAAATAAACTTGTAACATTTGTAAAATATCTTTGATATCTCCTCCTGTATGCTGTAAGAAAGAAGACAAGAAAAAAAAAGAGTCAAAATCTTATCGACATTCGGCTTTTAAATAAAATTTGTCTGTACATAATGTTATGTATCGATAAATTTATTCGTGGATACTGGAAATCCGATTCTATTTTTAATGAGTTTTTGCGATATATTTTTCAGCACGGATCATTGCGTGCGTTAATGACGATTGTGTCTTTCGTGAGAATTTATTTTGAACGCCGCGGCCGCGAAGCTAATCAGAGCGAGACGAGCGAAGAAATTTGACACATTTCTGTAACCCAAACATTCCATAATCCAACAATTCTTCGATCGAAATGGGAATGATAGAGCAACGATCGGAGCAGGCTTAAAATTATTGCGTCCTATCATATATTGATCATTTTTCAATTGAGGATCGAGTGTAATGCGCGAGGGCGCACGAAATGGACTAATTTCTCGTGATAAGGCGCATTTATCATCGTTTATCTTATTTCGCTTATTTTGTTATTTCGCTGGAATTGTGGATCAATGAATGCGTGAAATCTCAACGCAGACTCATCATCAGACATCTGTACATCTAATTAGAAATGGCTCCTATTGACGGCTCTCGTAGAGACAAAGATATCAAATTGATTGATCTAGGTCGTCATGCGTTCGTCCCCTTTATGAATAATATTTATGTAAATACATGAAGAGAGAGAGAGAGAGAGTCACTGCCACGCACTAATGACATCTCCCGACGCATAGTAACCCCGCGCTGCCGCAGATTTGCCTTGTCTTGCCTTGCCTTGGCTGCGTGATCGGCTTGGCGGACGGCTTCTGTCAATTGTTCGATGCTCGCGCACCCGCGTTGTTCACACTCCTTCTCGACGATCTGCCTGGAAAATTCACGACATGGATAACAGAGGAGATAAATCCGCCGACGTAGAAATTCTCGCTGTTGCTGAACAAAACAACATAGCTAACGAGTAAGTCTTGTTTTGATAATATTTTGATGTATAACTCGTTATCCTTGAACTTCTTTTCTGTTAGCAGAATTAATTCAATTCGTAATTAATTGAGTTCGTCGAGTATTTGATACTTTTGCAAAAACAAAACATGCCTTTCTTAAAATAATACCTTGTGGATAGCAAAATTGTTCCGATATCTGATAATATAATCTGATAATATGCAGTTTAAATAATTGAAACAATTTAAAACAACACTAAAATGAGGAAAATAATAAGAAAATAAAGAAAAGGGGGTGTCTCTTAAATTAATTCTTGAGTTGAAAAATTAAAAATTTATTTTTATATATTTATTATTAAAATTTTATTATAATACATAGTACAAGTATTTACGCATATTTTTCTGTTCTCTGAAATTTTTGCATTAAATTTTATTACTTATCTATAAGAAATCCATTATCACGATATCAAGTTATCGAGTATCGACCAAACTCACCAAACGTTATCAAACAGTCACAAATCTTGAAAAAATGCAAAGTAATTATCATGTCGACCGTTATTATTATAAAGTTTATAAATTGATGGCAATTGTAATACTAATATAATTGATAAAAAAATTTGAAATAACGCGTTAAATTATCCGTACCAGGGACATGCCAATCATTAAAAATTCTGCTACCTTTATGCTTTTTTATTATCGGTGCCGTTCGTAAACGTAGTTTTTGATAGACAGTCGGAGGTCATCCATTAATAGATATTATTTCTTTCTGACTGTCCAACATTCTGTATGACGACCTTTTTTCTTGCGATCACGTTTCTGCGTAAAAAGGCAACCCTAAATATCCAATTGTTTTACACGAAACCCTACCCCTCGTCTTGCGATATCCTACCGAAAGAGTTACAAAACATCATTGCACCAGATAGCAGCCAGTAGTTCTGGTCGAACACTACCGTGAAAATGGACTTCAGTTACACCGTTGACGAGTAAATAACAAGCTTAAAGTTATTCTCAGCTTCTCGCTTTCAGTATTGTTATTTCAATTTATTAAAATTGCTAAGTTTGTGATTTCGACAAACGATTCAATTTTAATTTACTTCAATCAGGCAATCGCATGATCCACGATCTCAAAACATTACCGGGATCTTGGATAGCGCGGAGACGTACAATTTAGAATGGAAAACGAACTTCCGCATAACTTGTGTTGATTTACGAGTTTTTATCATGTGAGCATAGCTTTAGATAAGACCCAGTTAGAGATAATTTAATAAGTATTCTCATCTTCTCGCGTTACGCACATTCATTTTTCCGAGTATCTAATAGCACACGTGTATTTGCATTAATCAATGATGCAGAATGCAAACCATGGCATCCATGCACACTACTATCAGTATTTAAAAAGAAGTATACGTAATAGGCAACATATCTTTATTATATTTCATCGCACGTCGAGAATGACTATCTATATTTTTATACTGTATCTATATTTTTATGCTGCGAGTGAATACGATTTTCGTCATACAACTACAAAAATTAAAACATTTTTTTACACTAAAGTTGACGTTAAATTTAATTTATTATAATTCTTTATATTAATTTGTTGTGAAATTCAACTATATTAGCAAAGAGAAAAGAGAATACCTATGAAAATATTGTACTGTTCCCCCCCCCCTTCAGCTTATTTATCTTCTTTTAAACTATCTCTTTCGTAACTGCTTTATTAATCATTTAATATTCCAATTATACAAGTACATGACACAACAGAAAAGATATTTACTTCTCAAGAGCGTGCTTGAAACATTCACCATATAAATTTGTAATATCATATATTTTGTGTTGTCTTCTTCGAAAATATCAAAATTGCTAAGTTTGATTTCGTAAGCTACCATTTCCACATCTCCCTCATTGAAATCTTTATCTTATCTAACACCGGGTCTAAAATAAGTCAGTAGTCCTAAGTCTTATCAATTGAATCGGTGAAATTGGTCAATAGCCAACTTATACGACTAAGGCTCGGTTTTTCATTATCTAGTTAACAATTGTCATTAAGTTTAACCTGATGTTTCACCCAATGGGTTCCGTTCATGACATCATTATAAATGAAGCCTCCCATTTTGAATAAAACATTAGGTTAAACATAAAGGTGCGTTCCATTTGGCGCTCACAATGCTCACGAGCATTATCTGTCTTTATAATATTTGATAAACAATAAGGATAAAATGTGATTCTATAATCGTTTTAAGTATCAAGTGGTCAAGTGGAAGACAACCTATGAGTCCCAAAAAATTTAAGCAGTAAAACGTAAGCGAATTGATTAAAGTAGGACCAAATAAAATAGGCCATGTAATGTAATTAACAAATCCAATATATTGATTTCCTTACGTCTTATTACTTAAGATTTTGGGTATTATAGTCTTAATTAACAATAAAATTAGAAATACGATTGATAACGATACTGATTTTCTTAAGATTAGCCAAATTCAACTTTCTTCCTTTCCATTGGTCGCCAAACGACTCGCTGTACACTGTTAAAAAAGATATAAAATTTGATGTACTTTTAAGTTACAAAAATTAAATTAAATTTTATGATGATAAATTATAAATTATTAAAAACTAATAAGTTTTTAAAGACTCCTTTAATTAAAACAATTAATGAAACCATAAAAAATATATTACAGGCAATAGGAGTCGACGCTGGTTATCAATTAGCGCAATTTTTCCTTAATACTAAAAATATAAATCTTAACTTTGAACGTTTCCATTCATGGTTTGAGTCTTCATCAGCAATCTTTCCTCCTAGCGCAACGATTGGAGTATTGCATGACAAAATGATATCTCCAACGTATTTCTTCTCAAAATTTTTGTCATGCAATACTTCAATCGTTGCGCTAGGGGGAAAGAATGCTGATGAAGACTCAAACCATGAGTGGAAACGTTCAAAGTTAAGATTTATATTTTTAGTATTAAGGAAAAATTGCGCTAATTGATAATCAGCGTCGACTCCTATTGCCTGTAATATATTTTTATGGTTTCATTAAATTTTATGACTACATTAAATTTTATGTATCTGTAACTAGAAAAATTGCGCTAATTGATAATCAGCGTCGACTCCTATTGCTTGTAATATATTTTTATGGTTTCATTAAATTTTATGACTACATTAAATTTTATGTATCTGTAACTGAAAAGAATGTATATGTATATGTACATGAAATTTATGTATGTGTACATGAAATTTAGTGTACGTTTCATAAAATTTTACGAAGTTTAATACATTTTTTATTAAATTTTACGTAGAATAAAAAGTATCAAGCTTTGTTAGTGAATACAGAGTAATGCCTCACGAATATGAAATATATATTGTATATCCTATATAATTGTTGTATACTGTTAAAAAAAAGAAATTTGCTTCCGTTACATGTAATGGAAGCAAATTTCAAGCAGAAACATTAAAAATATTTAATGTTGTCAATAAAAATGAAGTTATAAGTAACTCAAATTTAACGTTTACTTATATTAAATTTTATGCAAATCTACATAAAATTTAATAAAAAATGAACTAAACTTCGTAAAATTTTATGAAACGTACACTAAATTTCATGTACATGTACACAAATATACTTTTCAGTTACAGATACATAAAATTTAATTTAATTTTTGTAACTTAAAAGTACATTAAATTTTATGTCTTTTTTAACAGTGTACAATTAACGATTTATTGTGAATGTGAAAAATCATAATAGTCATCTACTTAAGGAGGTTGTAAGGGCATAAAATACATATATTTATATTTTCGCTTTAAACAAACTACATACATGTGAAAGTTGTGTTCATAACATTCTGGTTTTATT